TTCAATACCTACCTTGGATTAAGGGAAACCTACATACCAAATTTCGTAGAGATATCTCAATTTTTGCTCGAGTTATCGTGTACACGGTCGGACGGACAGACAGACCTCAAGTAGCACGCTGGTGTATAAATAGGTGTAAATTTATGGATTTTGGTACAAATCTGATTAGATTGAATAAAAAAGCATGATTAAATAATAAAAGGTTTGCTCAAAAAACAGTTTTCTCGCTCCCTCTTGACAAAATCGGCTCCCTTAGCAAGCCACTGTATGTGGGTTCGTGTGTGTGTGCAAAGCTTTTGTAAGGGAGCTAAGGGAGTGTCAAAACTCTAATGTCACTAACGAGCAAACCTTTAATTATTGAATCATGATAAAAAAGAACGTTTTGGTGTATTTGTTATTCCACCAGTATTTCTTTCAAATCAAAATTCTACCTTTAACATTTTGGTACTATTTATTCATTGAGATTAGTACGAAAACTACACCAGCTCCTGAAATGCGCCACTTTTTTCATTTGGTTCACAAATAGCTCCACGTTAACAAATGTCATTAAAATTATTCAGGCGACATTCTGAGTAGTAATGTGCTGAATTCTCGGTACCCAATACTTGAAAAAAATTTCGGTACCCAATACTTCCTTTTCGGTACCCGATACCGATTCGACACACTAAACTTTCGTCATTATATCTGTGCCGTTCAATTAAAGTAGCTTAAGTCACTTTAGATGGTTTGACTTTGAATTTAAAAAAAACATCAGTTTCCTTTGAAATTGTTTTATATTTTAATTAAGATTCTATTATAGGGGCATCTTGAACTACATCTTTGGCTAGTTAAACGTTAAAATATTGTTTGGGAATCTAATGAAATGGGGCTTTAAAGGGAAAAGGACCTATCTCGACATAGGCTACTTTCGGGGGTAAAAATTATTGATATTTTATAAAACATCGCCTAAAAACCCAAAATGTACAAATAAGACGGTCCTTTCTCAAGAGATGAGCAATGTGTTTGTATGTATGTAGTTAAGT